GGGTGGCTATTTTGAAGAAACTAGAATATAAAACATGTTTTCAGTTATTTCACCTTTTTTTGTTAAGTACATAACTCCACATGTGTTCATTCATAGTTTTGATGCCTTCAGTGAGAATCTACAATGTAAATAGTCATGAAAATAAAGAAAACACATTGAATGAGAAGGTGTGTCCAAACTTTTGGCCTGTACTGTACATCACAGTGTGTTTTCTTCTAACTCTGGAGAAGAGATGACTGCCAACATTTTACTGCTCTGAAGTAGATGAAAGAAAGCATTTATTTGTTTTAAAGCTGAGGGAGTCGCACTGGAATTTTCCAACAAGGCAGTTAATTCTGGCGTTAAAATGGTTTTTAGGTGACAGCTACATTCACACCATTAAACACAAGTGATGAAAATAAGTCCATAAAACAAGACAGACTGAACAACTTGTAATTGGTACACTGGTTGTGGTGGAGGATGGTGGATGTTTCTGGAAAAAGTTTGGGAAAGTTGAATGTGTTTGTTGTTCTGTGGGCAGTGGTGTGTAGCTGTAGAAGAGTTTATTTTTACAGATTACCAGCAAACCATACTCTGAAGTTTGCTCATTTTCTCCAGTTAAACAAAATTCTTTCTCCCTTTGCAAACCATGAGGGTGTTTGTTAGTGTAAGCCCATCACTACAACCACTTCTTTATTCACTTGATGTAAAGCCTCATAATATTTTCATACGTACTTGCATTTTTCATGGCTGTCCTCGTGCTGTGGTTCTCAGATGTGCCGTGTGCCTCGTTCTCTTTGATACTACTCACTTGTTTTGCTGTGACTGATTAGTGTTTGCTCCTGTAATAGCTCGGCTTCCTCTCAGGAATCATTTAAGCTTCATCTTATCTTATCTCAGAGGGACACCGGGCCCGAACAAACTCTGTGGCATCTCAGTGATTCATATCCCCATGGAAACAATCAGCACCAGTGGGAATCATCTGTGTTTAAATATAGCGTTTGCTTGCTCAGGCGATGAAGACGATACAGAGGAAGATATTCTCATGGGTAATTTATGTTTTCAATAAAGTGCTTTTACCTGGAGGCCAGAAATTACCGAGAAGAGACCCATAAGATGCAGTTTTAGGTTGTGGTGGTTAGAAAAGCTCAGTTAATCTCAGCAGGAGCTCTGATCTCCAGCTGTAATGACCTCTGACCTCCCCTCTGTGCTGTAACAGAAGTTATTAGTCTAGTGTTTCTGGATTTAGCAAATCAAACTCTTGAGGAATGATTCACTGTAATTCTTGGCAGGCTCAGCTGGGGGGCATTAGGACAGATTTCAAATATGTAAAAAGAACTTGAGTATTCACTTCCTCGCAGCTCTCTGATGCAGGTGTCTTCCTCATTTTAAATTATGCCTCAGGGATACGGGGATTCAAAGAATGTAAAGTAGCTGACTATACAGAACAGAGCTGCATGCTGTTTTCATAAGTTTTCTCCTACTGTTTTGGGTGATCTGTGTTGGATTCCTGGATCAATACAGCAAAAATATGAGATGATAAGACTTTCCTCTGAGTAAATTGCATAATTCTCCATGGGCTACAGAGCTCTATGCTGCTGCCGAGGAAGCTAATTACAATATATGTACAGTAATCATATATAATGCAGTGAGAACATGGGTGGGTTATGAGACACTAGGCCCCTGGGTACAAACATGCAAAAGCCCCCCCTGCCTCTCTTACAAAGGAGCAAGACTCACAGACTTTATAGTTGTTAAGCCTTTGTTGTTTTGCATTTCTTTGTAGTTGCTTTGTGTCTCTTAGAAGTAATCTGAGTCTCTTTGTAGTTGCTTTGTGTCTCTTTGTTGTTGATTTGTGTCTCTTTGTAGTTGCTTTGTGTCTCTTAGAAGTAATTTGAGTGTCTTTGTAGTTGCTTTGTGTCTCTTTGTTGTTGATTTGTGTCTCTTTGTAGTTGCTTTGTGTCTCTTAGAAGTAATTTGAGTGTCTTTGTAGTTGCTTTGTGTCTCTTAGAAGTAATTTGAGTGTCTTTATAGTTGCTTTGCATCTCTTTGTTGTTACTTTGTGTCTCCTGGAAGTAATTTGAGTGTCTTTGTAGTTGCTTTGCATCTCTTTGTTGTTGATTTGCGTCTCTTAGTTGTTGCTTTGTGTCTCTTTGTAGTCGATTTTGTGTCTCTTGGAAGTAATTTAAGTGTCTTCGTAGTTGCTTTCTGTCTCTTGGAGGTAATTTGAGTGTCTTCGTAGTTGCTTTGTGTCTCCTGGAAGTAATTTGAGTGTCTTTGTAGTTGCTTTGCATCTCTTTGTAGTTGTTTTGTGTATTTTGTTGTAATTTCAGTGTCTTTGTAGTTGCTTTGCGTCTTTTTGTACCTTTTGTGTGTCTTTGTAGTTGTGTTGTGTTTCATCCCTTTGTAGTTTTTTTGTGTCTATTTGTAGTTTTTTTTGCTGCTTTTTGTAGTAATTTTATTCTCTTTGTAGTTGCTATGCATCTTATTGTAGTAATTTTGTCACTCTTCGTGTTTCTTTTGCCTGTTTAGTAGGTGTTGCGCGTCTTTGTGTCTCTGTGCAGCTGTTTAGCATCTCTTTGTGGTTGTTTTCAGTCTCTTTGAGGTCATTTTGAGTCTCCTGCTCTTCAGTATGTGCCTCTTCAAGAGACATTTTGCAGGTGAATTCCAGTGGGGCCCCTGACACTTTGGGCCCCACGGCCTGTGGCCATTCAGTAATCCATCCTTGAGCCTGAACACAATAAGAAGAAAGTTATTTACTTGATTTGAAGATAAGTGGTTAAAAATATCTTGTCAACCAAAATTAGAAATATATATTCAAATCAAGCGCAATTATGGCCTTAAAGCTTATGTTATAACAAAACATATCAAGGAATCAAAGGTGTTAAGTCGCACAGTTAAGAACAGGAATCCTTCCTTTGGCCCTTGAATTAGGAGAAGTGACACAGTGACACAGTAATTTAAAAAAAAAAAAAAAAAAGAATCAATCAATTATTGGATTCTCTCCATAAATAAAAAAAATGCACATGGCAGATTGCAGCCTCTTCTTAGAACAGTGTTGGCCAATAGCAGCTATACTGAGGAAGCCTTTTACAGTACGACTGCAACTCCAAAGTTGTGTAAGAATAGGAAGTCCCCTGTCCTTCTAGCTTGTAACTTCTCTCCCACACACACACACACACACACACACACACACACACACGCTGCATCATGCGCAGTCCTATGTTAGCTCTTGCTTCAGTCATGTGCTCTTGATTTAGCACACCACCACATCCTTTCACAGTTTTTTTTCAGTGTGTATATATTTGCATGCATATGTACATGTAAGTATGTATATTCTGCGGGGTGGAACAGAATCTTAATGTTAAACTTTCCATCACTGTGTGGCGAGCTTGGTTGCAACCTCAGTATCCTGTACGAAACTCACACACCTACACTGCGTTTATCTATAGGTGCGTTTATAAGTAGTTTATGAAAGCACATTACACGGTACTGTACATTTGGGGGACTTTTGTTGAATACTGCTAAGTGCAATAGAAGACACGTCCTAATGCAGTACTGCAGATACTATATTGTACTCACTCATTCACTGAAGTAACTGGTAGATGGAGCAATAAAAATCAGTCAAAGTCTATTTATATAGCACCTTTTAAACAAATTAAATGCATTTCAAAGTGATTCACATGTGATTGACATAGCTTAGGATGTTAGAAATAGTAAAATGTAAATAAAATTAAATAGAATAATAATGAATTAATAATAACAATGAAATAAAATAGCAAAATATAAATAGAATAAAATAGAATAAATAATAATAATAGAATCATAAAAATGAAATAAAATAGTAAAATGTAAATAAGATACATTAGAATAAATAATAATAATATATCAAAAAACAAAACAGTAATGTAAATTCTGCCACTCAATCTTGCTTGCTATTTTTTAGTGCTTACAGTCTATCACTCTGGTGCAATATCAGTATTGTTAAACTGTGCAATATCTAAACTTCCATTAGTCAATATTGAAAAATCAGCCATTCAGTCTGTCTCTTTATTATATTTTGCTTCTTTTTGATGCTTTCTTGTTATACTGCTTTGTATATGCAAAAAGTATTACCTTATCTTATCTTAATAGAATAAACCTAAATAATAAAACCACAAAATTCTAAAGCAGCACATAAAACCCAGACCAAATAGATGAGTTCTTTGTTAATATTTAGAAACATCAATATTTTTGTACACTTTGGTATCTGAAAAGAGAATTAAATGTGCCTTTAAAACACACAAACAAACAAAACCTTGGACAAACAATGTCCTGAGTATGTTGCTGCACAGAAAAGATCAGAATAAAAGCAGAATATCTCCTGAGGAATGTGTCTTCAACTCCTCACTGAAGCTCCTGAAACATTAGAAACAAAATACAGTGCACCCAGAGGGACAACTTCTGCAGCGGTGATTCAGTCTGTTTTCAGTTTGCTGTACACCAACAGTTCATGTCGACCTTAAATCCATAAAATATGGCTGAAATATACATTTGAGGATGTAATTTCAGATGAGCACATTTCTACTTTTTTAAATTCTGCCACCTAGTGGTGACTGAGTGTTCTTCACAACATGAACATGAACAGAAACTACCTTTTAGTTTCATTCATACAGGAAATAAATTTAGTACGAGCTCATTTCATCATCATAGTATCATCATTTCTTTTTAGACAGAGAATAATTTAAAACATGGATGTCCAAATGTCTGGAGATTGTCGACCCGTCTGATGAAATTCTTACCTTTTCATCATTTTCATTTCTTTAATCGCCTGAACCTCACTCGTCAGACCTGTCAGTACAACTCTGGCTTTGAGTTTCGTGTTTTAATGATGGAGTTTCTGTGTAACAGACATCTTATTAAAGAACATCAAAAGTCTCTCTGTGTCTAACATCCATTCAATTAAAAGCGTCTCTGGTTTCAGCTCCTTTTTGCTGTTAACTGAACTCTCTGTGTCTCCGTCTCTGTGTCTCTGTGTTTAGTTCCCAGGCAGAAGGTGACGTGAAGGAGGAGATACTCCAGCCCCCGGAGCCTCACCCCGTACCCCCTATTCTGACCCCGTCCCCCCCTTCAGCCTTCCCCACCGTCACCAACGTACGGCAGGACAACGACCGCTACCACCCCAAACCTGTCATACACGTCCTGTCTACCACACAGGTGAGTCTGTTTATACAGAAACATACAGATGTGCAGGATGGTGGGTGTTGTAGCCTTTTATACTCTGTCAGGTTTGTTGTGTAAATGTGTAATTGTGTAATTAACCCAACAGCACACATCGACCTTGTGTATGTATGTGTGTGTGTGTGTGTGTGTGTGTGTGTGTGTGTGCTCTAAATTTAACTATCGCGCTTTAAAGTAACTAAAGCAAATATTAAACCAGAAATACTTTGGATTTGCACGTTTCTACAAGAATTGAGGTGACTTGCCTTGTTCATGCCATTTTGTCCTAATCTGTGAATCCTGCAGTTAAAGGGTAACTTTGGCATTTTTTAACATGGACCCTATTTTCCCGTGTTTTTGGGTGTAAGTGACCAATGGGCACAACAGTTTGTGACATTGGCCTAGTATTGAAATTGAGTGCTGCAGCCAGAAGCGGTGAAACAGGCTGTAATGTAACCAGTAGGGGCAATTGTGCACTGTCAATTTGTGTCAACTAAAAGTGCTTATTTTTGTCACTGACAGGCTCAGATTGTTTTTCAAAGTGTCTGACAACTTATGGAAAGGATCCCTATAGAGATAGACCTTTTTCTTTGAGAGTAAGATCCTTTTTGTTCAACCAAAAACAGCCCAGAATTCGTTATCATCAAACCCACCAGACTCCATTTAAAAAAACAGTAATTTAATTGTGTATAGAGGCAGCATGTTTTCACATTTAACTTGGTGAATTAAGGGTTTATTTCCATCAAACCAGAGCTGATGATTGTTGGAGCAGTGGAAAGACAAACCAAGATGTTTTTTGTGAGTTTTATATTGCTTCTATCGACTTTAAATGAAGTGTGTTTTATGATTATAGAATTACCGTTTTTTTAAATGGGGTCTGATGGGTTTGGCGACAGCAATTTAAGGGCTGTTTCTGGTTTTAAAAAAAAAGGATCTTACTCTTTAACAAAAAGGTCAACCACTGTAGGGATCCTTTCCATAAGTTGTCAGACACTTAGAATAACAATCTGACCCTATCAGTGGCAAAAACAAGCACTTTTAGCGGACGTACATTGAAGGTGCACAATTGCCCTGAGTGGTTACATTGCAGCAGGGTTTGCGGCTCCAGCTTTAGCACCCTGGCTCAATACTGGACCAGTTTCAAAAACTGGTGTTCCCATGAGTGACTTGGACACAAAATCATGGGAAAATAGGGTCCAGGTTGAAAATACAGCACTTACCCTTTAAACTATCTGGTGATTTTAAACTTAGGGAAGATATTGCTGGATCATCTTGCCCTAAATACTGACTGCTGCATTTGCAGAAGGTGCTTAAATGTTTTCGTTTTCTTTTCCTTACAGAATAAGGACACGGACCAGCAGCAGAACCAGTCAGAACCCAGTCCGAACAAACAGACCAGTCCCTCGGAGCAGAAAGACCAAGATCTACAAAGTCGAAAACAGCAGACTCAGGTCTCAAATCTAGACCTCAACGACAACTACAACAACAAATCAACATCGACAAAATCAGAATCGGGCCAAAGCCAGACTCAGACTCCCTCCTCGCCCCTCTCCCCGGCTGTTGAATGTTCCGGTGCTCCTCGGATCGAGAGGAAGCTGAGCATCGAGATTAAAAAGGTGCCGTTACAGGAAGGACCTCGTAGTTTTGACACTTCCTCCTCCATGGGAGTAGCAGGCGGAATCGGCAGCAGCTCAGCCAGTAGCGCGGCAGGACTGCAAAGAGCCCACGCCTTCAAAGCCCGCTCGGGCCATTCCCTGCTGACGTCTAGCTCTTCGCTGTCGGAGGACTCGGGCACAGAGGGCGGAGCGGGTGGATGTGGGGAGAGTCATGCCGACGGAGGCGTCCTCGCCAGACCAAACCACCTCCCTGTGAAGGGCGAGAAGGGGGAGACACAAGGAGGGGAGAAAGCGGAGGTGAAGGCCGGCCATGTGGCGTGGTCTCAGGCCTGCAACAGCCCGGAGAAACAGTTCCCCAAAACCTCCTCCTCTTCCTCCTCCTCAGACCGCGTCGCTCCATCCTCCTCCTCTTCCTCCCACCTCTCCTCCTCCTCTTCCTCCTCCTCGTCTACTCCCGTTAGAACTGCCCTGAGCTTCACCAACCCCCTGCACTCGGATAACTCGGACGAGGAGGGGGACGGAGAAATGTCTGGGGGAAAGGAGGGTTATCGTACTAATGTATCCACAGCGACGGCCATGGTAACCGCATCCCCTCACCATGGAGACCAGCAGCCGGTCCGGAAGGTGGTGCCCATGTCGATCGCGGGGCAGAGCTCTCCGTCACCCACTGCAAGTACGTCAACCAGCTGCTTTCATTTAATGAGCGTAATGCCTTTAACTAACTGGCTGCTCTCCTGACAGACGCAATTGACATCTATACAGGAAGTCAGACAAAACAGACATCTGGAGTAACAAAATAAATCAGATTCAGACACCTAACTAACTCAACTAAACACTGAAGGTCACGTCAGGTCTTTCTGAGAAGTCTAGTTCTTGATAAAACTCAGGTAAAGGCACTGAGAGTAGAGTAGAGTCATTTCAGGGTCAGTAAGGAGATAGATATCTTAGACACACCACATGCTAATGACAAGTTGTATCTGTCAGCACACACACTGTTATACCACTCTTATTTCTGGGCTGAGAAGGAGGCAGAGAGAAACAAACAGCAGACAAGGAAGAAAGAAATAACAAGAAAAGAGCGAGATAGTTCCAGTGAGTCTCATTTCAAGCATGGCTGTATGACTAATTGGTTGGTTTGCGAGGAATGCTGCAAACATCTGTCAAAACAAGTCTTCTCTTTTCTCTTTCAGCCTGTGTGTGTTTGTCTAAGTGAGTGGATTTGGGAACGGGGGAAAGAAATCCTGTTTTTGTGTGTGTTTTTGGTTCCATTGCAATTTTACGTGTGTGTGTTTGCGTGCATGTTGGATGGTGAAGGATCAACACTGCATGAGACTGATAAATACACAACTCTGTGCACGTCGGGTTGAACAGAGCAGCAGTGTCACGCTCGCTGTCATGATCGCAGTGGTTTTTTTAATCCTCTGGGGTGTAAAGGCTGAGATCGCTCCTTCTTCTTTTGTCGATTTCAAAATCGTGAGATTCTGAAATCTGATTCTTGCTGTGATGGAGCTGATGTGGAATGGTTTGAAGTAGACTTTGGCTTGGAGCGGTTTGGATCTTGAGTGGGTTCAAAGCTTGATGAAACAACTGCATTTTTGAATATTTGGATTTAACTGTGAGGGTGCATAATGTGAGACAGCATTGCTTCAGATAAAAGCAAGGATATGTTCTAATAAATACTAAAAATCGATACAGCAAAGTATCGCAATATTTTTGTGCAGCAATATTGTATCGTCACACAGTGCCAAGTAATGTCTTTTTTTTTTATTATATACATTTTTAATATGACAAATACAAATTAAACGTTTGGTAACCTACTTTAATAATATAATAAATTGCTTTCTCAGTCCACTAGATACATTTTGCTGCAAATAAAACAGCTGACATGAGGCTGAAAATCTTATTAGATAAAACAGATGATAAAGGTTTAACTTTAGGGACATAATTTGCTGTTTAAAAAAAAGGTAATATATCACAGTTTATTTTATCACAATACTCAGCATATTGCAACACATTTAAAATTGCCATAATAATATTGCTCTCTTACAACTAGAAGATAATAAGACATTGGTGACAATACATAGTGTATTGAAGCTTTCCATGAGAGGTAGTTTAAGTTGTTAAGCCCTACTGATACTGGATTTTTGATACTGATACAGATATTTGGAGCAAATACAGCCTACTGAGGCCCCAAACAGAAACACACCAGGGAACAAGCACCTGACAGATTAGGGTGGGACAAAGGCCGTTTTGAAAAGATGGGTCTTTAGTTTAGTTAAACTTTCTAATGAGACCGCGGACTGTAAACCTAACAGAAGAGATTCATAGTGTTGGAGCCATGACTTAAAAGACACCTTTTGTTTTGAGTCTGCAGCGAGGGACAGCAAGTAGGTCCTTGTCAGATGACCTAAGAGACCCACTAACGATATATGGATGGAGGATTTAAGCTGAAAATGTCAAATCAAGGAGCATCCATTATAGATCAGACTGTATGGACTGCACCTAATTGAAATATGATCAAGCGCAATGTCTAAATCACAGGAGCTGCAATTTTTCGATGAAGGTAAAATGTGTTATCACCATTATAAATGAGGCATTGTGGTGCTACACAGATGCCCCAGCCTCATATTTCAGATGTAAGAGAACATGCTTGTTTTGGTAAAGACCCCAACAAAAATCACCTGATCATCATCATCTCATATTTTTTCCAGTGAAGATGACGTCTTAGTAAAATCACATTGTCCATCTAAAATAATCGCAATATTATATATATTTTTTTAATGTTGTGCAGGTCTATCAGACTGTACTTCAGTCAAGCTCTAACAGGCCAGTTATGAATCCTCGCCGAAATAATGACAGTGATCTTGAAAGCTGAAATCAGGTGTGATTAACTGAACCACACACTCTCGATTGAGTTCTCCATAAATATCCCGTGATCTCGAGAAATCAGAGGTTGTTTCCTTGTGATTTATTATCTCATTATCTTGAGAGATTTGCATTTTTTTTTGTTGAGAATTCAACATAATTGGCCTGTTATCAGTCGAAAACATGCAGTGCTATCTTGAGATAACAAAATCAGTCATATCTTAAGATAACGGCATTAAAAAATTATAGCAAGCGTGGTCGTTCTTGGCTCCCGTCGGTATTAATATTTAGGAGTTTAAAAAATCCCAATATATCAGCTTGTAGTATTGTCGTATAGTAATATCTTTTTTCTTTATAATTGTGGCCATGAAACAAACTGTGAGACAGAAGCAATGTTTTAAATGACCTTAAACCTACTCCGGTATTACTACTATATATATAGGTGTACATATATACTCCCATACTGATATACCTGCAATAAGGTCGTATCAGTGTGGTAGATTTACCTGTCTAGCTCTAATAAGTTGCATAACATTTAGTCAATCAATTATTGCAATAAAATGTCTGCTGTACTTTAATGTTCAGCAACAGCAGCTTACCTGACTTTATACCAGAAGACAAACTTTAAAGTTGTTTTAGAAAACACAGAATACAGTAACATGTCTCCGTTAGATAACCAAATGTAATTCAAATGTTATGGTCGACATTTAAATACCTTGCATCACACATCATGCACCCCTGAGGTATTTCCAATATTCAAAATGCAGAAACATTTGCCTCACAGTCCTGGCGTGGGCTGGTTTGCGTTTTGGTCTGCTTGGCTTTCTGGCACATTATTTATTTGGGCTGTGGTCGCGCTTTGGAGTCGGTTATGAAACGCTGATGGCTGCTGTTTGTTTGGTTGCAAGAATCTAATGACTGCTTGTTGTTGATGTAAAGCTGGTGGCTGCTTGTTTTGTTGGTTGAACTATCAACGAATTAGTCCATTTATATTGCACATGTTATAAAGGGTATTGCAGTTCAACATACTTTACTAGTCAGTGACAAACTAATAAAAAAAAAGGGGGAATTATGAACAGTTAAAAGGTGACATGTAAAGCTTGAATTACATACATAAACACTACAAATATATGAAGCAAAGAGATAAAATTTGGGGATGAAAAAAGTTCCTTGTATCTAAAAACATAAAACTATAATAATAACAGTAATTTTACTGCTGTAATATTGATGACTTGTAAACAAAATTCAGTCTCTTTTAAACTGAAACTCAACCAACAAACAACAAAAGCAGGTGAACTCTACATTTCCTGACCATAAGTGACTAACAACCTTAAAACTCCTTTTTTATTCCATTACCTCTGAAGTTGGACTTTGTAATTACATTTTTTAGCAGCTCTTAACTTTAATCAGCGACAACATTATCTTGTTTTCTTCAAAGTGGTTAGGACTTCTTTAGACATGGAATTATAAATGGTTTTATAAAGTGAGGTACCCGTCAGCAAGCAATATGGGTTTGGTTAAAACCACTGAATAAGACATAGTAATAGTAAAATAAAGCCAAGTCAATCACAAATGATATACAGCCAGTTTATTAGGTACACCTAACTGGAGCTGCAACTCTTGTTTAATCTGCTCATCGTTTTTTTAACCTGCTCCGTGTTGCTTCCCAGAGCCCAAGATGAGTCTTCAAATGGTCTTTTTTATTCGGCCATCAGTCCAAAAATCCAAAGATATCCAGTTTATTATCAGATATGACAAAGAAAAGCATCACATTCTCACATTTAAGAAGCATGTAACCAGCATATGTTTGCCTTTTTGCTTGAGCCATCACTAAACTGATTAAATCAAGTCCAAGTCAAATTAAGTTTATTTAAATAGCACATTTAAAAACAGCCACAGTCGACCAGAGTGCTGTACAAAATAAAAGAATGACACACAAATGTATAGCAATATAACATGTACACAAACATGAAACTGAACAACAGCAGTAAGAACAATTACATATGTAAATAAGATTGTAAAATACTAACATATTAAAACCACTACAGGCAACCAAAGACCATTGAAAACATGTACGTTTTAAAATTTGTCTGCAAAGGCATGATCTCCCTGACCCACCAACCTCGATCATGGGACAGTTAAAAGACATTCATCTGAAGATCTAAGAGGTCTGGAGTAGGAGTAGGGACAGAGAAGCTCAGCCATGTATGGCTTTAAAAACAAATAAAATAACCTTGAAATCAATCCTGTATTTATTCAGTTTTCTGTCGATCAGTTAATCGACTAATCAATGCAGCTCAACACTTAAGCAAAGCTAATGCAGTGTAATATAACATTGCAATTAACTGTACCTTAATGACAGTTATCATGTTCAGTCAGCTGTGTGGTTAATTTTGGAGGCTACAGTTTGTGGTGCTGTTGAGTTGTGTTGCATTTATACTGATAGGTGTGTCTATGTTTTGTCCACCCCATTTATATTACTGGAAGGTAGGCTAAAAGAAATACTTCTCTGTATCATGCAATACAGTTTGACAACACCACAAACTACATCCTTCATGAAGGTGGGGTTTATTGCAGGGCTATTGTTATTAGACTGCATTAGTTTTAGCTGATAAATTAGATACGATCAATTCCATTTTATTTATAAAGCCAAAAAAGAAGTATTATTTTAAAGGCAACAGAGGCAGATATCTGCCAAGAAACAAGACTAATGACATCATATGTAAAACTCCTCAAAGGCAGTATCCACTCCTTGGAGCCTCGGAGTAAATCTCAGCTGGGTCAGGCTTCTTTGAGAGTCCAACCAGCTCTCAGTCAGAAAGAGACGGACACACTCATAATATGGTTAGTAATACAAAATGACTTCTTGGATATTACGATTGAATTAAAAAGAACCAAATTTCTTTTAACTGGACGGTGGAATAAAAGTAGCTTTATATCAGGGGGAACCACCAGAGAGTCATCATTGTCATTATTGTCAGGCAGCAGGGGCTGATCATAACACTAATGACCCATGGGTAATTTTCTAAAGCAACGCAGTAAGAGTTTGTCCCACAGAGACAGATACTGTCAAATTATGCTCAGTTTAAAGAGGAAAAGACCAGGAGAGTTTAAGGAAATGTAATGATGACTGTCTGGAGTATGTCAGTGATTTTAGATGCAACTCAATCTGCTAAATAGTAAAAGTCCCATAAATTAAATGTGAATTACTATTTATCATTACATTACAACAGATGTAAAACTGATGTCTGTTACAGATACCACGACTAATACTTCAGGTTACATGTGATTGCTTACAATTAAAAAGGATGATTAAAAATAGGCAGCATGCAGATTTTTTAATGCCTTGTAACACACTGTTTGAGTCCAACTTATTAAGTTTAATGGGCTCTGTTGGTCCGGACATATTCAGATACAGTATTGCCAAGGTAATACTGACATTAACCCAGGATGTCTTCATATCGCTGTTAATTAATAAAAAAGTAAAAAAAAAAAAACAACAATATATAAGTAATGTATAACAATCTGCAACAGCAGATTTAACTTTTTGTTGTTGAAAACAGGACACAATTACAAAAGAAAGAAATGGTAAAAATAACATGATTTAGTTTTGTCCGTCTGCATGTGTGGGATTTACCAAAGAACACAAATAACAATAATAATATTAATGATAAAAAGAATGCAACAAATAAGCAAAAAGACTTAAAGACAATAAACAAAATATATATATATATTTTTCTCTTTCATGCCCACTGTTGACAAACTTATCAAATCAGTACCTCACATTGTGTAATTGACTATATGAGTTTTGTTGTACTATGCTGCAGCTCTAAAAATAAATTATATTGGATACATCCTAATGTAAAGTCATTTTAAATGACCATATTTTGTAAATCATTTCAAATAGAGTTAAATATCTGGCCGGAGTGCCTGCCTACTGTATGTTTTTTTTTAATAAACACTATTCTTTATTGAATTTTTCGTATATTTCAATGTACAAATGGAGAATATTTTAATTGAATTTTATATATATATAGTATGTATATATATATATTTCAACATACAAATTGACAAGTAATGTATTGAATTTTACATATGTTTTCATCACACAAATGACACTATTTTTTTGTTAAATTTGACATATTTTAACATAAAAATAGACAATTTATCATCAAATTTTATATATATTTAAACATACAAATAGACAAATATTTTTACTGAATTTTACAAATATTTCAACACACCAATTGATAGTATTTTTATTGAATTTTACATTTTTTTTTCTTACATGCAAATAAACAGTATTTTTTTGCGGATTTTTATAAATATTTTAATATATAAATAGTCAATATTCTTATCTAATTTTACATATATTTCACCATATAAATAGACAATATTTAATTCAATTTTACAAGTATTTAAACACACAAATAGACAATATTTTTAAATTAATTTTACATTTTTTCTTAACATGCAAAGACAATATTTTCATTTGATTTTTAAATAAATTTCAGCATATAAATAGACAGTATTTTTAGTAAACCTGACATATATTTCAGCATATTATTGGCAGTAACAATAATAGTCAAGTTAAACTGAAATATGCAGTCATGGTTTTCATAGTCATGAAATGTAAAGAAATATGACCTTTCACATATTGAACAAAGAAATAAAGTAAAGGCCTTTGTTGTTTTAAATTTGCCTTTCAAGGTGACGTAACAGATTTTTTTTAAAAGTTTGTAATAAACCAGTTTTATTATTTGTGTATCTAATGTTCAGCTTTCATTAGAGCAGGAAACAAATGTGAGTTGCATCGTTTACATCTGACTGCTCTCGATATCTTTGTCTTTCTTCTCGGGCCAGTGATTAACGTTGCTTCTCATTTGACCTCTGACCTTTTTAACCCAGACTGCTGGGACAGCGATGACTCCCCTCCCCCCCTCCCTGCGAGAACCCCTGAGTCCTTCCTGCTGGCCACAGGTGCGTTTGCATTGGTCGAGATTCACAGGTGTGTTCCCAGTGCTGTGGGTTCACTGGGTCACCTCCTGGATACAGCTGGTGTTGTTATAGCTGGACAAAGATGGTGGACGGATCAGTGAGTGTGAGACTCTGATGGAAGTTTGTGAATTTTAAAACTTTATTAGGCTTTATTAGTGTGAGTGAAGGATGAGCAGCTGTTGTTTGATACAGTTGTTAGCCTCTGATAGGAGCTGGAAAACGTCATCTATTCCCATTTTATCTGCTCCTCTCAACTGGTGCCTCACCGTGTATGAACATGTAGGTAGGGCCTCATTCTGTCATCCTGGCTTCAAACAGACAGATGGACGCACATGTTGCAGGTATCAGACCTGCGTCCTCTCTGTCACAGGATGGTGTCTTCAATAACTTGGCCACCCTGTTGCCTTCTGCTCTTCCCTTTTTCCCTGTGTAGTATTCAAACGTTCAACCACATGAGAGCAGATGAGAAAAAGGAGTTGAAACATTTTCAGTGTTGTGTCAGAAAGGAAGTTCCTATCTTTAACGAGAGGCTTTATTAGTTTTACAACACTAGAGGGCGCCATTGGCAGCATTTCTGACCTGCAGTGGTTTTGGAAAGTCTATCTGTGAAGGATCAGTGACAAGCTGTGTCTCAATCCATACTACACACAGATACCTGACAAAATAAAAAAATACTCAAAACAGGCAGCATACATAGTACATTTTTCGTTATTATTATTTGATTTAACTTATTTTATTTTAATTTTATTTTTATTATATTATTATTAGTTTTAATTTGCCCCCTTTTTATTTATTTATTTTTTTAATTTAATTCTATTTTATTTCATTTTGTTTATTTATTTTTTATCTATTTTTTTGTGTATTGTTCCTTTGTCTGTTGGCATTATGTATGTTTATATGGAAAAGAAGCATGCCAATACCATGTTTTGTTATGATAAAAGAAACATTTAAAACTACAATAATAATATTAATAATAACAATAAAAAATAAAATAATAATAATAATAATAATCATTTAGAGTGTACTTTTGATGGACACCTTTTCCCACATTCTACACAGCAGAAAAAAGCTAATGTGGATGATTTTAAAACAGGTCTAGAAATATGTCAAACTATTAAATCTTAATCAATCCTAAATAATAATTTTGCTGTCTCCTTATTGGCAGTGATGTCCAATATATGTCAGGTGTATTATTATTATCATTTACTGTTCGTATAAAAGAATGATGTGTTGATTTCTTGTATACACACTGAATAAACTTGACACTAGAAAGATTAGCACTGCACTTAATACTAATTTGCTATTATTTTAAAATTTTTAATAGTTTTTCATTTTGTTTTTTGATTTTCGTTTAGTTGTAAGAAGGCATACATAGTCATATTTATATTTTTACATTGATAACCTTAGTTTTAGTTTTGTTTTTATTCAGTTTTAGTGTTAATTTTCAAGTATTGTGAGGAAAGCCTTCATTTGTAGTTGCTTTCTACCTGCTAGTTAAGCCATTTGCAGAAAATCTAGTTTGGATATCAATCCCCCCCCCCCTTTGAGGTTTTGCAGCAGTCGGCGTTCACTACATGTTGCATCGCCGGACAAGGACAGGACAAAGTGGTTCAGTTAGCACAGAATGCACAGAGGGAAAAAACAAGGCAGATTTTACACACAACTCTTTTTTATTTTAGTTTCATGGTGGATTTGTTCTTTTTTGCTGTTAGTTTTAGTTTTAGTCTTGGTTTTCATCTACATTTGGTGTGTGTAGTATGGAGCTGGGGCACAGCTGTAGTTTGTCGCTTGTATAGTGATGTAGAAGTGGGTGTATTTAGGTACATGAATGTATTGAGGGTACAGTGACACAGTAGAAAGCTGGAACAATGTCATGAGGCTTTAATATCATTTCTTAAATGTGTCTTCTCTTTGTAATCATCTGCTGTTTGTGATCAGAGATCAGTCGAGCTCTCAGTTTTCTGCCACAATTGGAGGTATTGACGAGAGGATGGCTTAATAGAGGAGAGAGTTTGAAAAGTATGAATGTGTGAGGATGTGTGTCAAAGTGAAGTTTTTGTTTGTTTGTCATCACTTCTGTCTTTGTGATACTCACTCTGTGTGTTGCTCTCTCTGTCAGACCCTGTGGAGGTGAAAACGTCAGCCTCAGCTGAATGGAGTGGCTCAAATAAAGGTATGAACACACACATCATCATAGCTGCTTGTTTCTGTCTGTTTAGCCTGTTAGCTTCTGACTGGTGTTACCTGGGGACCTTGAGTAATTTGTAATAAATACAGAGGTTTTCTGTGATCTTACAGTTTATTATCTGGTTGCTTTTATCGCAAAACTCTACACGCTAACCACACTGAACCAAAACATACACTGAACCAAAACATGATGTGTCTCTTGCACAAGCAAACAGTTCTTGCAAAACCCTTCAAAACTGTGTTTCTGCATCAACACAGTACAAATAATTATGTAAATAAGCACACAAAGTACCAACTACACACGGACAGAATAAATGGAAACATTTGTGGCTTGTGTCTGTCTGCAGGGCACAGCTGTTTGCAGTAAGGTTTTGTACATGTAGAAAACACACACACACACACACACACACACACACAGGTATTCAAATAAGTAGAGTATGTAGTCTATTCCTACCAACAGTATTAATAAGGGTGAATAGTTTTGTTTTCCTCCTCAAATGTTGTAACACTCCTCAAACAACAAAAGTGCAGTCGAAGATAAAAAACAATGATACCCATGTTTTGCTAGAAGTGTGTTATTAAGTCGCAAACTAAGTGTATATCAGAGAACGTGCATTCAGTTTAGCACACTTGGTAAACACACTGGCTACAAGTGTTAATGTCTTCAGAGACAGTGCTTCAGGAATCACTCTGAAGCTCTGTTCACAGGGGACCAGTATTACCTGGGGACCACTCATAATTTGTAATAATTGCAGAGGTCTTATGTGATCTTAATCCCGTGTGAATCTGCCATGTTTGTTTTGTCAATTTGACAAGTAAAGATTCCACCGCAAATTACCTGTCATATTTCGCCAAACACAAATGTCATGTGGCAATATTGGACATATCTGAATTGGCATCTCTGTGATTTGGGGTTTGGTCTTAAGGTTTTCAGGTTTCTCTACGCCTCATTTCTGCCTCTTTCCTTGTTGAGAATTACGGAGGCTGCGTTGGCAATTCTAAATGAAAGTTATGGCAACATTTTGGGTGCAAATTCGGGAGGCTCATCTTACTACACAGCATGGAGAGATGAATGACGTGATAGTTAGTGGCAGAATCTGTTCTGTTTGATTAAGCCACATTAAAAAGGAGGTTGACACTGTGCATCATCACTAGTGGTGCTGGTTGTTGTTTTGTTGTTGTGTATCTCTGAAATAATGTCAGTAAATTTGAGTGAAATACACACTGGTTATTCCATGTGAATGCACCGCAAGAAGAACAGGCTTTGGGGGGTACTTTCTAAATCCCATAAGTCCCCTGGTGATACCAGTACTGTATTTTGACGAACAAACACAGAGGTCATGTGATAATATTAGTCACATGTGAATTTGGGGTTGTAAATTTTCCTGTTTTGCTTTTTTTTTTTTTTTGCGCCTTTTTTCTGCCTCTTTTCAGGTTGAGAATTATAAAGGCTGCATTATTAATTAAAATAAATTAGAGTTTGGGTGCCAATTTATATGATTCACTGAGCCTTGTCATCATATTTGGGAGATAAATAAATTAAATTCCAGTAAAATACAGACTTTGCTTATCCCGTGCAAATGTGTCACTTGAGACACAGACATTGGGGGATAATTTCTAAATCACATGATTAATTATAGGTGGCATGGTGGTGCAGTGGTGAGCGCTGTCGCCTCACACCAAGAGGGTTCCTGGTTCCATCCCCCTTTTCTGGGTTTGCATGTTCTCCCCGTGTCAGCGTGGGTTTTCTCCAGGTTTTTAATATGAATTTTAACAGTTGTCCAATAGGGCTGTCGGCTGTGTATTAACCTGACTTCTGCACAACACAACTGATGGTCCCAACCCCATTGATAAAGCAAGAAATTCCACTAATTAACGCTGATAAGGCACACCTGTGAAGTGGAAACCATTTCAGGTGACTACCTCTTGAAGCTCATAGAGAGAATGCCAAGAGTGTGCAAAGCAGTAATCAGAGCAAAGGGTGGCTATTTTGAAGAAACTAGAATATAAAACATGTTTTCAGTTATTTCACCTTTTTTTGTTAAGTACATAACTCCACATGTGTTCATTCATAGTTTTGATGCCTTCAGTGAGAATCTACAATGTAAATAGTCATGAAAATAAAGAAAACGCATTGAATGAGAAGGTGTGTCCAAACTTTTGGCCTGTACTGTAGGTCTGCATGCTGCTCTGAGCAGAGGAGTGTCTGCGTGTTTGTCCTTGTGTTTATGTGTATTCACGGTAGTTATTCAGTGGAGCAGAGCAGGAGACAGATCTTCAGCGTTTTACAAATTAGCCCGCGCACAATAAGACTGACAGCATTTCTCAAAAGGGCAGCTGTAAGAGCGAGGGAGTGAGTAATAAGGAGACAGGAAGAGATACAGAAAGACAGAAAAGGGGAAAAGATAAAACATGTCTATCGAGAGGTGAAATGAAAAATGTGTGTGTGTGCTTTCCCGCGCTGTGGGGACTGTGTGGTGACGGCTACTGCCAATTTAGTGCTTCAGTAGTTTCAGTGCGTGCGTGTCTGTGACAGAGACAGACTAATCGAAGGGGAATAACAGTTTGACTGGAATCCTGTAATGATTCTTTTTAGAAGCTATGAACATAACTCAATAGGAGCGTTTATGGAGAATAAAAGGACCGTGGTTTCATTAAAGTTCCCGCTGATAGCCGGCCTTCAAATGTCATGAACTAAGTTTCTTGGCAGAACAAATGTTTTATCAGCATGTGAAACTCCATGTGTGTATTTCGCTCACACATGGGTGTAATGTGGTGCTATGTGCATCTGAAGGTTAAAGTTGTGGTGCAGATCAAATGAGGCTATTTTGGCCCCGAGGCCTGCATGTGTTAAAGTAGCCAAAAATGTATCACATGAATACATAAAGAGATATCAAGCCAAACCTGATTATTTAATGAACAGTGAGTAGAAATCTTATCCAGTATATTGTTTAGTATTTCCAGCACAGGCTAGATTGAAGTTAAAGGGATAGTGTGGCATCTAGTGGTGAGGACTGCAGATTGCAACCAGCTGAATCTTCTCATTCTGCAATTACACCTCCAAAACACTAGTCGGCTGCAGGGTTTCTGTGAAGTGCTGTGAAGTTTAGTTGATCAAAACACACATTAAACACACATTAAACATGGCTTAATAGCCACAATTTCAAACGCAAACACACAAATCAGCTTCACAATAACTCGCAGCATTCACAGACAACACTTGACTTTATCTGGACACATTTTCCCCACAAATACAACATGCTAACGTTATTAGCACAAACCCATGGCATTTTACATTGTATAAATTAGCTAGCGGCTACAGGGCTTTTCCTCTACTCATATAAAACCAGAGAAAACAGCAACATTTAACGAAGGTAACGTTACAAGATTTGGCTCCATTACAACTCACAAGGTTCACAGACAAAACAACTGTCTTATACTGAACATGTTTTCTACAGAAATATAACATGCTAACATTATTAGCACAAGCCTATGGCATTTTACATTGTATAAATTAGCCAAGTGGCTAGCGGACTTTTCCTCTTCTCATATGAAACCAGGGACAACAGCAACATTTAACAAAGGTAACGTTAGAAGATTTGGCTCCATTACGACTCACAAGGTTCACTGACAAAACAATTGTCTTATACTAAATACGTTTTCCACACAAATATAACATGCTAATGTTATTAGCACAAGCCTATGGCATTTCACATTGTATAAATTAGCCAAGTGACTAGCGGACTTTTCCTCTGCTCATATGAAGCCAGGATAAATCACACACAAGACAGAAAATGCTATTTTTGTGGAGGCTTTATTGTTTTCACAATTTAGGTCTGCATCACCGCGACGTGTAGTTACATTTCTGGCTACAGCGTCGATTCAACATAGAAGTATAAATCCTGCGTAAGGTAATGAAAACACAACAATTCTTATTTTCAGGTGATGATACACTAAAGAAAACATACTTATTATATTATATTATATTCCATTTCTGCCAATATATCCCCCTAAATCCTGCACACTGGATCTTTACATGGTCACAGTGAAATAGAAATAATAACAATATGGTGATAATTATAATAAATTAAGGAGCACCTCAGATAGATAAATGCAGTTTAAATGTGTCTTACATCACTAAAACTGTTATACAACACCTTCTGACCGAGCACTGAACACAGCTGATGTTCACACGACACTTCCACCCCGTTAATCTGTATATGTATGTGTTTTTGTGCAGATGTGTCAGAGTGTGTTAAGAAGATGTCTCCAGCTGACCCTGCATCTGCTGGCACCACAGCGACAGACAGCAAGGCAGACCTGGGTGGGTAAGTCTGCTGTCGTACCTCCTACACATGTTTTGTCAGTGTATTTCTGACTGTCAGGTTTCTACGTGTCACAGAATGTTATTTGCACAAGTAATGTTTTTTTTTTTTTTTTTTTTTAGTCTCAGTGCAGAAAACTTTGCTGACAAACATGGTTTATATTAATGTCATCATTTTTTTGTGATGTGTGGCATTGCTTGTGCTGATTGGAAATGTAGCTTTAGGCTGCATGTGCAGAAAATGTTTGATGGTTTTGAGACCAGGCAAGAATTGAAGGCACACTCTCCTCCAGGTGGAAGACATTTTCTGGATTTGATTCATTCTGTTTAAAGGGATTGTTTGGAATTTTTGAAGTGGGGTTGTATGAGGTACTTGTCCATTGAAAGTGTATTACCTTCAGTAGATGGCGGTCGGCATACCTCCTGTTTGGAGAAGCAGACAGGGGTACCGCCACAGAATCTAACTGATGTACTGCTGCAGACGAGGGGAAGCAGCAAAACATGTTTAGTCAATTTAAGTTTACACCATATTTGGGTTATTTTCACCACTTTATCTAACCGTCAGACAGCCCTTTCTGGTGGGGAACTGAAGCCATTATATCGCTCTCTCCAAAGCCTCCAGACTCCTTTGAGAAAAACAGTAATTTTACCTCACAGAACACCGGTGTTGCTGGTCAACTGCTGCCTCGACCCATTAGTAAATTTATGTTATTGCCTTTATGAAATCATGTGACTATTGTGACTCGTGAAATTCAGGTGGAGGGCAGGAAGTGACAAATCCATATGCTGTGTGAATTGGATATAGAGGAATGTGACTTCATAAAAGGTTTGAATGAACGTGCAGGCAGCAGGTATAGTCAGAAATGTAAACTCATCTTCTATATGATCAATAAAAAATCTAGATAAGTGATTTTTCGCAAAGCTTGACTGGTTTTGCCCTTTGTGAACATTATCGTCATTACAAATGACCTCATCCCTCAGACCCCCTAACACTACATGGCAAGCTGATGAAAAGCGTCCAAGAGTCCAGAGAACTATAATTATTTATTCCATGTGCAGTTGGGTTCACGGCTGAAACGACTGCTGGCCATTTTTGGCCGGGGGAGTAAATGTGCTTGAGTATAACTGTCTTTTATATTTCAGCTCTGTACATGGATGCACTGCTGTCAGGGTAACGCTAGCTAATTTTAGCTGCGATGGTCTACTTAATTGATTGATCGTCCCCAGAGGTTTGGTGAAGCACCATTAAAAATCTGTGTTTAAAACAACACTTTGACCTTAACATTTGACATTAGCTGACTCGGCACCTCCAGACTGAAGATGGAGGTTTATGATCCACATCTGCTGCTGTTTCTAAGTGAGGGGTTTGTTTTTTTTTGGACTTGAAGTGTCCCCTCTTTTTGAACGATGAACCAAATTGGGATTTGAAAATCACCAATTTCATCACAATACGATATCTATTCTTTGGACAACGATGCAATATTTGCCAAAATTACAAAGTCTGCCGTGATACAATTTCAGTTGAATTCGATTTTAGGGTCTAAGATCTATATGAGACGATAATATCTGCCCATTTATCTGTTACTGAAGACACAGCAACCCGTTTCTCTTTTGCTTTTTGCCGTAAAAAATAAAAACAACACATAGCCTAAATAATGTAAGTAATTGTAACCACTTAAGTCCGCGTAAACTGACTCACATAGCCTTCAGGGCTTTCAAACACTGCTAATTTATTCCCAGAGTAAATAATGTAATCCTCATCGTCTTTCTCTTAGCTGCTTCACATCTGCCTGTGCTGTTTGACAGTGACAGACTTTCAAAATAAAAGCGTATCCCAAAGATGACAATATAGATTGATATTTTCATTTTGCATTGATCATACTGGATCATTGATCACTGAGCCGATACATTGATCCAGATCAATGGATCATTACACCTCTAATAATCAGCGCAAATCAAGCATTTTTCTCGGGTTGATAGTCTTGGCTTACAGTTGCCTACCCTCGATCTGGACAGCAAACTGATGTTTGACGTCATGCGCAAAGAAACTATTGTGTGCCCTCAGTGTTTTAAATAGTTAGTTGGGATTCACCAAGGTCGCACAATAACACAAACAAACCTATCGAGGCAGCAGTAGATCAGCAGCGTCTGTGTTCTGAGAGGTAAAATGTTTTTGTCAAATGAGTGTGGGGGCTTTTGAGAGAATATAGATTCAATTCCCTGTCGAAAAAGGCAGTCTAGGTCAAGGTGAAGCAGTGAAAATATTCTATATGTAGTGTACACTTAGACTGATTTTTTTTAGGGTGTCTAAATACGTTTTGCTGTATGTAATACACTGACGATGGATAAGTACCTCATACAGTCTGATTTAAAAAAATCCAAACTATCCCTTCAAAGCAAAACAAGCCCAGCTAAGAACTTCTTCTCCATCTTCTGACAGGGTTCGGTAACCGCTGCATTCAGCCCAAAGGCCCTCGGGAACCCCCCCTGGAGTGGACGTGATGGGACGATCTATCTGCCCGTCCACCAACAGTGTCCTCCCTAGTCAGGAGATGGACTCTACCAATCTCACCTGGCTGGTCCAAAAACCTAGTTGATAGATGCTACACAGACAAACATCACAATTTTACATAGAAACACCTTCTGTGTAACTCTGTGCAACACCTCCTCCTCCTCCTCCTCCTCCTCCTCCTCCTCCTCAGTCCTTCCTTCAAAGTGCCACTGTGCAAAGCAGAAGAACACTTACTGGTCAAGTGGTTTTGTCCACATTTTCCTGTTCAGCTTGCTGATATTAGAGGTTTTCACTTCTCTAGACGCTGACCTGGGATCAGTCTGGTTATTTTCCTGTTGATGGTTAAAGAATAATTCCTGTTTATTTCCTGTTTCTAGTGACTTGAGAGTAGATTAAAAAAGCTCTTATTTCTCTCTCTGGCTTCACACACATCATGAGAATGTGTGTGACTAAATGAATAGAGGTGTATGTGGAGCCCTTAGGTGTTAAACAGAAATTTTCTTTCATGCCAAATGAGAAAAAAGTATTTTTTTTCATCATAAATCAGGAATTATCTTTAATCAGAAAAGCTACTGTGGGAAGCTGATTCCTATTCCTGAGGTTTAACTCAACTCCCAGACGGTGTCTGCTTCCTCCTACTGAATGAACAACAATCTTCAAAGCGAACCTAGATAATCTGTTACCCATGATGCAACCTTTTCTGTTGGGTATGTACAGGTTGCCAGGGTACTCTTTCTCTCTGTCTCTTCCTCTCTCCCTCTTTCTGTGTGCTGGTGCTACATTACAAAGGACCAGCATAGAAACACAAGTACTCCAGCTGACTGTTACCTGTTCCTCGCCTCCGTTGTGGTCTCCTGTAGGATTTACTCCTGTATTAGCTGCAGTCATGTCAGCTCCAGTACTTTATGTGTCTATGCTGCTGACCTCCCTGTTTACCAGAGTCATGGATTGATAGTTTGGTCATTGCAGTGGTCAGTAGCAGCCATATTGGCTCCAGAGTCCTGCTCTGTGGCTTTTAGAGGGATAGTTCCACATTTTTAGTTCCTGCTGTGAGTTAGATGACAAGTTTTACACCACTCTCGTGTATGTGGAGCTGAAACCTAAAGACGCTTAGCTTATTTTAGCTTAGCTTATCATAAAGGCTGGAAACATGTAAATTGTGGTTTTAAAACTTCAGTGTATGCACAGAGTAAATAAATGTGGCATAAATTAAACTGTTTTCTCATTTATACTCCAGACCATGTCCTGAGAATCAGATTTGGACATCGTCCGGAGTTTCTCTTTCACAAATGTAGCATACAACAAGAAATGCTCCATTTGGTTTAGGCAATGAGGGGTGCCTGGGTAGGGCGTGCAGGAGGTAGGACATGACGCAGATTACACCGCATTCAAGTAGCCAGTTTGTAATTTGGTCATAAACAACAGATTCTCTTGCTGTTCCTTGAATTTGTCTGACGACTTCAGCTTTGACCCTTACCAACACAAGTCCCTAAATCTCATCACTTCTCCAGTTAGACATTTTTGTTACCATCTTCGTATAAATTACCCTTCATCTTAACCTTTGGATGTTTGTTTTCTTCCGATTTTGTGCAATCTGCATGATGGAAACATCATCAATGCTCCCACTGTGAATTCTCCGGACACTTGCCAGCTTCACAAATAGGCTCAGTCGGACATTAACACAGACTCTATACAAGGGAGCTGGCAGTTTAAAGTCCGTTTAATGTCTGATCCAACTGATTCGGACATTTCTGTTCTCACATACAGCTCCTCCAGGTAATGTCTAGATCAGTGGTTCTCAACTGGTCTGGCCATGGGGTCCAGATGTCTCCTTAGTCATTCGTTCTAGGTCCACATAGGATATATATTCAGGGTCATACTAATGTTTGGCCATATTGTCGAGCTAGTTTGCTGTCTCTGTCCAGTTAGTCACTCACTCTCCAGGAGGACACAGCATTTCAATATACTGTACTTAAAGTGTGTTTTTACAAACTTGTCACATTCACAAGTCACTTGCGGTCCAGTCAGAATGGACCCGCGACCCACTTTTGGACTGCGACCCACCAGTTGGGAACCACTGGTCTAGATAATTACACGTTTGCAGTACATGTGTGCTTTTTTAGTGAGTTGCTCAGATGTGGGTAGGTGGACTTTAGTACCTTTGTACAGAGGCAAGCTTGTTACCCTGTTTCCAGTATTTATGCTAAGCTAGGCTAACTAGCTGCAAGCTGTACCTTCATGTTCAATAGGTCTTTCGAGATGTGTTTATCGCAGATGTCGACATTGTGGTGCCATTAAAAAAATATATTTATTGTGCAGCTCTACTTTAAACAGAGCTAGGCCAGCTTTTCCCCTTATCTTCAGCATTTATGCTAAGCTAAGCTAACCAGCTGCTAGCTGTACGTTCATGTTTCCTGTACAGACACGAGAGTGGTGTCACTCTTCTCTTCTAACTCACAGGAAAAAAAGCAAAGATGCAAAGAAAATGTTGAAGTGTTCCTTTAGATATCTTTTAATTCAGTGGCAGAGGACAGTAATCACTACGTTGACATCATGTGGCGTTAGAAAACATAGCTGAATGCAGAGAAACTGAGAATAGAGATTAAGGAGTTCTTAACGTCTTACATCTGATTTACAAATGTTTAACCAAAGAGTGATGTTCCCTTCTCCAATAATTCACAATAGAAAAGATCACAAAAGATTAGTTAGAAAAGTCAGAAAATAGTTAAAACATACAACATTTGAAGCTAAGTTTCCAGGAAGTCTGCTTTTGTCAGTCATAATGGGGTTAAATTGACCTTAAAACAAGCCATTAATGACCAAACTGATCAGCTCTGTGACTCTGGCTCTCACTGCTGGGACCATGAGCCTGCCTTAGTCCGCCTCTCAGAGAAGACAGCCAATGACAGTCCTCTTTAATTGCTCTCTTCAGTTCACTTCTCCGTCTATCGGTGTATTTCTGCTTCTCTTGGTCGTTATCGGGACTCAATTTTGCTGTTTACTTCTTTTTATTTTCCTCAGCACTGTCTTGTTTTTGTCTTTCTGTTATTGTACCCTTTGCTTTTTCTGTTGACAGTCTCCATTTCCTGTTGGATGAACAACCATGCAAGTCATTTTACTCAGTGTTTCAGAGTAGGAATGTTAGACATCACCTGAAACTCCTATGGGACTTGACAGATTGAGAAATAGTCTGGCTTCCCGTAACAACCACAGATGAGACTTGTGTGGTTTTTCATGCGACGACCAAATTTAAAAGAAATCATACTGTACCTGCCTCTGTATGTGTGAGACAATGATGATAGGGACCCAGGACTACTGTTTTCTCCTTATTGTTCTCTGCTAACTTCTCCTTCATTAGCTACCATAACTATACCGTATATGCATTGTTTTATAAAGATAAAAAACTGTACAGGGCAGTTTAGGTATATAATATTTCAGATTTTTGTTTTTGTTATTTTAAATATTCTTATTAACAGAAGATGTAAGAAAGTCAGTGCATGATGATGATGATGATGATGATTCCTCCCCTACACAGTGTTTCCCTTCAAACTGTAAATTATTCTGCTGCCCTTTGTTCTTTTTTTTTTTTTTTTGCTTCTGGCAAATATTTCAGGGTTGTTTTTATTTTTATGTTCGAGTTATATGCTTACAAAGATTGAGAAATTCTTGTTTTAATTGGTTGGCAGAGGAAAAGTGTCGACTGCCAGCTGGCCCCCTTTCAGATAGCTACAACGGGCTTTGAATAAGATTGTAATAATAATATTAATGACAATGATAATAATAATAATAATGGTCGTTTTTTGTAAATGGTATTTTAAAAGTTATTTTTGTATACGCGGTTGTTTGTTGCGTCACAAGTCCACTGCTCAAACCCCCCCCCCAACTCCTCTCTTTGCTTCTCACATACTCTCCTTTCACCTTCGTCTTTTTATTTTTTACATTTATTATTTTTTTCCCCACATGTTTTGATTTCTTCCTTTCTGTCTCTCGGCTCTTTTAATGTAGAACATGCAACAGAGATGGATCTCCTGCTCTGGACAAGGAGCATCTCATTATTTTTTGCTTCCTTAGTACTTCCCCTGCTGTTTTCTCTCTTTCATCCCCCTTGCCTCCCACCCTGTCTCTGCCTTTTTAATTTTTAAAAGGCTGCCGATTTCAACATGTCTGTGTGCCAGCACTTTAAAGGGGACCTATTATGCTCATATTCGGGTTCATACTTGTATGTTGGGTTTCTGCCAGAACATGTTTACATGCTTTAATGTTCAAAAATCACTTAATTTTCGTCACACTGTCTGTGCTGGAACACCTCTGTTCACCCTCTGTCTGAAACACTCCGTTTTAGCGCCGGTATCTTTAAGCCGAGGCTGCTCTGATTTGTATTTCTGTTCTGTATTTCAGTGTCTCTGCGCCTTCATTGCAGCTGGGGAATGACTGTAACAGAGAATAGCAGCACCTCCTGCCGTGAAAAATCACCAATAAAAGCTTCTAAACACAACCAGGCATGTTCCAGCGGGAATATGACCTTGACCACCAAGATTACATGTTTCCCTGATGTTAGCATGTGGCTACATGTAGCAGTGTATTTGCAATTGGGAAATGACGGTGTACAGTCGCACTTTCACCCATTAAAATCAACGAAAAAAAGCTTCTACACACAACTGGACATGTTCCAGCAGAAATATGATCTCAAATCAGGAAGAATTTAATAACATCAGCAACTAAGATTACAAGTTTTTCTGGCGTTAGCATGTTGCTACACATACACATGTATTTGCAGTCGGGAAATTACTGTGTATGTTCGCACTCTCCACTGTTGAAATCAATGAAAAAAGCTTCGAAATACAACTGGAAGTGTTCCAACAGAAATATGATCTATCATTGGGAAGAAATTAACAACATACACAACCTAGATTACAAGTTTCCCTGTCGTTAGCATGTGGCTACATGTAGCAATGCATTTGCAGTGGGGAAATAAGTGTGTTTAGTTGCATTTTCTCACATTAAATTCATCATTAAAAGATTATAAACTCAACTTGACATTTTCCAGCAGGTTTGCCTGACGTTAGCATGCAGCTACATGTAGCAGTGTAGGCTACATCATGTAGATACCTGCATTAGCGAGCTTGAAGCAGATGACCGTATAATAAAATCCATCACGAGCGGACGTAGCTTGTCTTGAAAGTAGAAAAAATCGTTAACAGTATTCAGAACAGTCTTAAAGCTGAGGTTTTTGCCCACAGTGATTACTTTAGCAGACGTTTACCTCTTTATTTAAAACATTTAATACAAACATTGACATTGTAACTATATATATGACAGAAGATGAGGAAAAACATAACGGGTCCCCTTTAAGTGATCCATCTCTAAATTGTTGGCGGTTGAAAGTAACAAAATCCGACGTAAACTGACTATTAGACATGCTGGGAAAAACTGTCTTTTAATCGTTATCATTTGTTTCTCCAATACTCCATTTCTTTCTTTCTGTTTTATTTACGTGACCCCTTCACATGCACACTCGCCTCGATCTCAGAAAAGAGCCCACCTGTGCCTTTAAGTGAGAGCCCGCCCCTCCCCCCCTTTTCCTTCTCTCCTCCAATCATCGTTAGCGGCGTGAGCGTGAGCGATGTGATTCGCTGCTGCTTGCTCATTGCCTCCTGTGGGACTCTCGTTCAGCCCGCCCCCTCAGACACACACATACACACACACACACACACACACACCTTGTGTCCCTCTTTCCACACACACAAACATAAACACACACAAAATGTTTGTATGTTGCAGAAATCAATCAGTAAAAATGAACATTAAGTAAAGACATGTCTCTTTGTTTTTATTTGCACAAGATGATGTCACGAAAAGTGTGTGCGGGTTGTGTTTGAGTGTGTGTGCGTACATACAGCTTTTATTTACAACACAGAGCTGTTAATAAATCACTGACTTGTCTCTGAAGTCACAAAAATAATAATTTAATTGTGTCTTTACTGGCTGATAGCATAAAACACAGATAATCTGATGATGTCAATCACTCTGTGTGTGTGTTTGTGTGTGTGTATGTGTTTCGAGGAGGGGTAACAGCAGGAGATCCTTTCTCACACCTGGAAGATTTGCCGAGCGGAATGTATCCACACATGCAAACTAATACGGCAATTAATTAATCACTGCAGGTGGCATAAACACAGTCGCTCGCCACCGTACACCGAGACCTTGAAGGTTTCACATTTGTATTCACTTTACAAGCACAGAGAGACGCAGCAGGTGGGAAGACATACTGTGATTATTTGCTTGTGATCACACAAAGCCAATGCTCATTTCAGATTAATTATACAGTACATTACAATGCAATATTTAATGTGTAATGGGGCAGCAGAGAAGTGGTTTAGGCAGATTTGTGTCAGACCTCTTTGCTTTCAAGTCAGTGATAAAAGCACCTGTTGCAGCAGCAGCGGGATCTACAAACCTCTACAGTGACATTGGAGTAAAGTATAAATATTGATCAACTACATTTGTGGTTGTGCAGCACTCATGAATACATACAAGTGAACTACATTCATACATGATGGTGAAACAGGAGATATGAACAACATCAGCAACTAAAGATTACAAGTTTCCCTGTCGTTAGCATGTGGCTACATGTAGCAGTGTATCTGCAGTCTGGAAATGATGTTGTATAGTCACACTTTCTCCCTTTAAAATCAACAAAAAAGGCTTCCAGATACAGTCGGACTTGTTCCAGCAGGAATATGATCTGAAACAGAGGAGAAATGAGCAACTTAGAAGATCAACCCTGCACTCTGGATTTCAGGTAAGTAGGCTATGATACAGTGCTAGTTATAGTCACTTAGCAACCTGCATCTGTGTCCTTTAAAGTTGGCACAGAGTAGGCACAGGAGTAGCGTCCAGCACCCGACCTCACATTTTCCAAGCAGTTAAGAATGTGGCATGTGTACGGCCCCTTAATGGTATTTGATTTGATAGCATATCCTCCTGAGACTCTGTGTCCTCATATGAAGACATCACATTTTGGTTTTACTTGACCTTATTCAATTCAATTCAAAACACTTTATTTGTGCCCGAGGGCCAATTAAAATACTTCATTCTCCTTAACTCAGACCTGCTGTCCTCGTTCGTGGACACTTTTTGTGCCATCTAGTGGTAGTAAGACCACAATACACTAATCCATGTAAAAACCTGATCACATTTAATGGTTGAAACTTGTTTATTTATGATTAATAATGTTTGTAGTTTGGTATGGCAAAATATTTTAACCAATTTAAGCAACAGTAACAAGCTGTTAATTAGGAAGTAGTCATTTGAGGACATTAGGACTTAATTAGTGTTGACAATGTTTAGTTTTTAATACTTATCAGGTCCCTGTGATCCCAAATAGCTAGGAGAAATTTACAAGGTTTACTTTATGACAAACTGATTTTAACAAATAAATACAAATTTTAAAAAGCATCCATGATTTTTGCCAATTTTATATACTATTACTCTGCTGTTGAAATAATATTTGGTAAAGATCACATCAAGACTGGGGACTTGAGTCGGGACTTGATTGTTAAGACTTGAGACTTGCACAACAATGACTTGGTCCCACATCTGCTGTATCACAAGGCAGGAGAATCAACAGCCCTCCCACAGTGTCTTACTTTAATTTGCTTCTTGCCTATTCTGACGTACACACCTGCTAACACGTTGTGTACACAGTCTGTCTCTCTCTCACACACACACACACACTCTGTATCTCCCTGTCTTGTATGAATTAAGCCAGGTTGCTATCTTAACTGGGTCACCTCAGTTTTCCCATGGAGCAGTTTAACATGTTATGTAATGGCTTATAAATATAGCCAATCAGTGTTGAGTGTGTGTGAGCAGTAGCAGCAGGCAGCGCTGCCATCTGAAGAAACTGAAAACTGTGTCAGCTCTGTTTTATACTGTATGATGTCTTCCACCACATTATTTTTAGGTACATTAGTCACATACAGAATTTGACTTTGACTCAATAATGCACACTTTACTTCACACGCAGACGTCAGATTTCCTCCTCTGAATAATCTTGTCACAATGTTTATGGCCAGTTGTAACTTTACAGCGCGCAGCGTGCAGCAGCTAATCATGTTTAGTATTCACGCTTGGCTGTCACTCACTGACAGGCCTTGCACTGGCAGCTTAGCCAATCAGTCTGAGTGAAGAAAATGTTTTCATGTCAATAAATCAAAGTGTAAACAGCTCCGCAGGACTCACAGCGCTGTATAATGATGTGTTGTAGTGTGCGAGAGTGATGAACTCATCCAGTTGTGAAGATTAGATGAAAAAGGGCAAGTTTATCCCTCTGATGGGAATATTTCCATTTCAACAAACGCATGTACTCGCCACTGCACTTCTCTTAGTCTGTCAATCAGCTGGGCAGTGTGCTGATCTGTAGGGTTGTGTTCTGGGAAAGAGTAGACTGAGGAAAAATTAAAAATAAATCCTAGTAAAACAAATTAATCAAAATATTTCATACTTTATGGTCAGTGTTTTTGTCAAAGGATCAAAACCACTACCACTGTAGGCGATATAAAGTAGAGCTGCAACTTATTGTTTCTATCAAATGATTTGCAGATTATTTTTCCAAGATATTTAGTATGAATTTAATTTTTTGTGTCAGAAAACACTATAAAAAAAAAGTTCATTTTCATTTTCTGAACTCCTTGTTTTGTCAGACATGACGTATCTTTGGGTTTGTGATTGTTGGTCAATCAACAGACATTTTTTGTAACAAAAATACAAAAATAATCAAAATCAAAAACATTATGGGGTGTTGGTGGAATAGTGGATAGAGCAGGCGCCCCATGTACAAGGCTGTTGTTGCAGTGGCCCGGGTTCAAGTCCAACCTGTGGCCCTTTGCTGCATGTCACCCCCTCTCTCTCTCCCCCCTTCACACTTAGCTGTCCTGTCTTTAAAAAATATATATATATATTATTACAAATACTTGGCTGTTAAATAACACTAAGACTGGATTAAACCAACATGGATTAACTTAATTTAAAGTTTAAATTGTGTTGCACCAAACTGGAAAACTATCTTAAAATTAACAAAGATTAAATTTGAACCTTTCTTTAAATTTCAGTTTTTACTCTAAACCTAGATTAAATGTAAATCTGTTGCACCAAAACTGTGACTGAGGTACAACAGATCTCTGCTTAATTTTAAAACTGGATTTACTCATGTTAAACCTAATTTTAAGAAGAACATTAAATTAATCCTTGTTGTATTAAGCTATCCTAAGAATATATTGAAAAAATAAAAATATTTCTCATGATGTTTCTGTACTGTTTGAGGTCTTGCTCCTCATTATTATTATCACATAATGCATAACAGTACAGTGCTAAGCCCCGCCCACAGTTTTTCCCTCTCTGCCTGTCACTCAAGCTTAGTCCCGCCCCTCCCTCACTGCATGTCAATCAAACCCGTTCCCGCCCCTTCATTGCCTGCTTGCACGTCGCGCAAAAAACAGCAGCGGCGGCCGTTGGGGGAAGAGAGTAAATAGAGAGAGAGAAACCTCAAGATGGCTGACTCGCTGGGCTCCGCTCACCTCACCGGAGCTGCTACTGCGGTAGCCCCGGCGGTCGCCTCCGTCAAAAGCCCGCTCGCCAAGCCGACGGAGCCGAAGGGAGCCCCTGACAACCGCTCCCAGTCTTCCCGGGATTTCAACCCGCCGCCGCCCAAGAAGGTCCGAGTCGAGGAGAGGAGCGTTAAACCCAAAAAACTCAGTAGGGAAACAGCAGTGGGAGGCAACGGTAGCGGCAAAGAGAAACTCCAGCAGCCCACGAAGCAGCAGCAGAGTTACGGCAGCAGTACGGGCTTGTGGAGCTTCAGCCCGGTGAAGACGAGCAGCAGTGGCAGCAGCAGCAACCCTCCGGTGCCTGCTACCGGTGGAGCTCAAACACCGACAAACACGCATAAAGTCTTCAAACAGAGCGACTTCTTCCTCCACAAAGCGCCTTCCTCCTCCAAACCCAAGAAACCGAGCAAAGATAAACGGCGGGAGAAAGACAGGGAGAAGGGGAAAGGAGGCGGAGAGGAGAAAAAGAAACATAAACTACTGGTGACCTCCGGACCCGGGAGTAACGTTACCAACAACGATATCAGCAGAATTAGTAACACTTCTGCGGTGAGGAGAGAAAATGGGGAGGTCATGTTGCCACCTAAAGGTAGGCCATCACTGGGTATTTTCTTTAAATCCCACTTGAAGCGAATAATAAAGTTTGAGTCGTGTTTATAATAAGCAGGCTGGAGTTCTGCCCTTTTATAGCGACTTGGCTCATCGTAGAAACAGCCACTTGGGATATGAACATGTGGCCCAGAGTGTGCAGTTGTCTGCCTCCTAATTTGTCTGGACAGTCCCGTTTTCGGACTCGCTGCCGCTCAAGGGGCGCTCGAAAATGTTGTACACGAACCCGTACATTTATTTAGCATAACTCTTATTTCATATTAAACGGTTTAAATGAGGTTTACATCGAGTTAAGCGCCCGCAAAGCCCAGTTTAGTCGATGTTTCTACGGGCTATGGCTGCCAGCTTTCGTCGCCTGTTCACCCGCTCGTGAACCCTCGAGCTCCACAACAGCGTTCCAGGGCAGCAGTCGCGCGACCTGGCCGTTACATTGCAACCAGCTGCTCGCGTGCTGCAGCGGAATTGTTACGTAGCTACGTCGTATTGACAAAATATAACCTGTTTTACTCATAAACGCTCAACAGCAATATAACCGAGCGACACAAACACGCTGTAATAATCAATAATTATTTATTATATAACATTAATCCGCATATATATAATTACACATATATTTAATTTGCGTCGGAGCTGTGTGTGTTTTAAAACTGCACGCTGCTGTCATAACAATATGACAGCCGCCCGCCATTATAGGGTAAGTGTTGTTTTGGTAGAGCACCACGCCCCCCTCTGTAACCTCGGGCTGTATGGGAAACAGACAGAGCTCCACAGCTTGTTGTTACTCCATGTTCTACAGTTGTGCACGCAGAACACGCTGTATTCATTGAACCACTCGGCTCCATTAATTTGTTTTACCACTGAACAACCTTTGCTATCACCCCGGAGTAATTACAGTCGGGTCCTATTGACGAGTATTACGTCAATTCTTGACTCAGTACATCCACGTTTAGTTTTCTTTTGAGTGTAATCACTGGGGTTATGTCATTTAGGTAGGTGAGAGGGGAAAGCATGAATCATTTCACTCGGGTAGTCAGTTCAATAAGTCATGAAAAATGAATTAATTTAATCATTAAAAAAAAGGTAACCTATTTTTGATAGTTTACAGTATTACATTATCTTAAAACCCAGACAATAAAAAAGCCAAACAAATACTTCACAATGTAACTATAATTGTATGTTTTTTTAACATATTAAAAGTCTAAACAGTACACTAGATCAATGCTTTATATCTTACACATATATATTATTCATTCAAACCTTAATTAAAGACTAAGAAAATCAATTGATGGAGTGGAGACCCTCATTTTCAGCGATGCCAAGCATGAACAAAGACAAAAACAATCAATAGCCAAACCTAATATAAATTAAAATAAACACATAGCCAATAGGCAAACCTTTAAAAATACAAATAAAGTCATACAAAACAAACAATAATACCGACATCTAGCAGCTAAAAGGCAGCATGCATGAATAATGAATAAACATGCTATGGTGTAGACTTTATTGTCATTGCACAAGAAGTACAATGGAATTTGCTGTGCCATGCCTGAATATAAAAAAAAATAGAAAAATTAGACACAATCAATAACATTAAAAATCATTATTGCACAAGTTGACTCATTATTGCACGTTTGAGTTAAGCTGAATTATTCTCAGTATAGTTCATGACACAATGGTGAGGCAGTGTTTGATTCTAGAGATGCACCAATCCAGCTTTTTCAGTTTCAATACCGATCCCGATGCTGTGGCTTTGAGTATCAGCCGATACCCGATACCGATCCGACACCACAGTTGACCTAAAAAGTTAACCTTTACATGTAGAACAGAAAAGACTAAGGGCATCAGACATTGATGACTACACAGTTCTTTCCTAAGATAAAATGAAACAAGATGAAACGGATTAATGCAATGATGAACTATTTATTTTTAACAAAAATAAACAATTGTGCAACAGCAGTTGAAATAGTGTGAAATACCTCCTCACAGCAGATTCTCTCCTTCGCTCCCTGACGTATGACGTAGCTCGCATCGCAATAGATTTAAAGGGAAAGGATTGCCTCAGGTATAGGTTGCATATTCCGATACCCGATCAATCTATTTTGATGATATCGGGCCGATATTCGATCCAGATATTGGATTGGTGCATCCCTATTTGATTCATGATCATTCCATGTAAACGGTGCTCTGTAGGAGAATTACATTGTCCCTAGTTCAGTTCTGATTAAGGGAATGTGGAGCAACAACCTATTCTGTGAGTGAGTACCAAGATTATGGGAGTTTTGAGTTAAATCATAAAAAAGCTAAATTTCTGTTTAACATAAAAGCATGAATTTTTTTCCCCATTATGAAATATGCTGCAAACGTTTAACATGTTTTTGTCTCAAGGCATAGACACAATTGGCATCAGGTCATTAACAAATTACAGATATAGCCTACTACAGGATGTCACATGATTTTTTGAGAGATTTTATCAGTTCCTGGGGAGGAATTATTACATTCAGTTGGCCGATGGCGTTTCTGTTATATCATCGCATTAGTGGACCTTTTGTTTGGCCTTTTTTATTCTCTGTGTTTTGGTGGCTATTTTGGGCTGTGGATTTGAACCCGCCTGCCACCCGGGGCCCTTCCGTATGGAGTTTGCTTGTTCTCCCTGTGTCAGCGTGGGTATTCTGGGGTTCTCCAGCTTTCTCCCACAGTCCAAAGACATGCAGGTGTCAGGTTAACTGGTGACTTTAAATTGCCCGTAGGTGTGAATGAATGTAAGCATGAATGGTTGCCTGTCTCTATGTGTCAGCCCTGTGATAGTCTGGTGATCAGTGCAGGGTGCACCCCGCCTCTCGCCCATTGTCAGCTTGGATCGGCTCCAGCCCCCCTCGTGACCCAAAGGGGATAAGCGTTTACAGAAAATGGATGGATGCTGGTGTTTTGTCATCGTCACACCAAAACAGTGTCTCAAAAATCTCTGCATTTGCTGCGTGTAAATGTCGTGTGTGTGAGTGTTAAGACACTAGCAGGACAACAGAGTGGACACATGCAAATGTGTGTGAGTGCATGATGTCACCCTTTTCCAGTTGGGTAGTTTAAGAGGTCATGACATGCTCTGAACAGGCGCTGCAGTCAGTGAGAACACCAGAATGAGACGTGTTGTTGGCCTGTAGCCCCACCACACCATCAGAGACACAGTCTTGTAAACAGGCTGTGCTGGATGTGTGCTTGCACGCTTTATGAGGATTTCAGATCGAGGCTGTTGTTAGTCACCGCACAGATCAGAACACAAAAGAGGGATTCAACAAATATGTGAATGTTAAATAAACCACGTCCTCTCTAACTAAGGAATTAATACATTTTTATTGAGCAGGCTAAGGGCTAATAGTCAATTAGTGTCGTTACGTTTATTATGTTCATTTTAAAACTGTTAATGCTGTGTGCTGGCGTGTTGAGAATATTTTAAAAACACTTCTGCTATGCTATTACATTTTCATCTCTGAACCTGACTGGGAAAATTGTAGATGCAGCCATGAGTAACAATAAATAATAGCACTCCAGCATTACCTCTGACGTGCTCTTGAGCAAAGCACCGAACCTCTGATTGCTGTAGGGAGCTGCTCGACGGCCAGCAGTCAGAATGTAATTATACTGAGTAGCTTCAAATATGAAGATGGGGAAGTATATGAAGGTGGAGCAGTGTTGCTGGAAAATGCACGTTAATCCTGAGCAAAATGTTTCAAGGATTAAAGCGCTCCCTTCTGAGCTGCACCTTCCTGTAAAACAGTGTGTCAGTCTTCTTCCTTTACGTTGTGACACAGCTGCATTCGGGATAGGTTTAGCGGTATACAACGCAGGATTGTCGGTTACTGTTTGTACACATCCTCGCTAGTACCGTTTCACCCAGCTATATTTGTGTTTTTTCAGTGCTGTGTCTCTTAGATGCACCTGGCACCTGTTCCTGGTTGCTACCTTTTTGTAAAACCCCGACCTCACCTGAGTGCTGTGAGGGTAGGTGCCCATAAATATCCCTAACACAAAGAATTAGATTGATTGAGAATGATTGAGAAGGATTACTTCTGTATGAGTCAACTGCAGTTTTAGGAAAATCCTGCATGGTGTATCTTCAAGGTGATACTGAAAAAATTCTGATCGTGGATGACTCACTTTTTAGACGGACTGCTGCTCAATGGGAGGACATGAGTTTGGGCCCCGGTGCTGGAAAAGTGTCCTTGAGCCGTAGAGCGAGTCCTGCCAGCTTCAGAAGCGCTTCTCTGAAGCCGATTGTGCTCTGACCTTCCTGGAAGGCAAGAATTTTCCTACAGGGATCAAAAGAGTATCACATCATCACAGTAATATTATTAGTGTTGGGTTTGCCGTTGGAGTGAGGCTGAAGGCAACTGCCAGGGAGCAGTGACTCCTGGTTACATTTGGTCTTTAAATATGAGACACGAGTCTGACTAAGTGCGGCGAGCAAGGAAACATTACTGCATCTGGCAGGCTGATCTAATGTGAAAGAAATTGTTGTTTAAATCAAAGGTCATGGGTTTAATCCTTGCTGGGATCAAGTTGACCTGCTGTTGACACCAACATGAAGTCTTACTTGATATCTGTAATCAAGTGCAGTTCTTCTAAAGATTAACCTTCTCGTGTTGTCTCTGTGGATCTTTTGTTCTGGCACATGTGCCACATAAATCACAGATGCAAGACAGCTTGTTTTTAAAAAGACTAATATGGCTGTTGGTTTGTTTGTTGGTTCAGCTTTCAAGCCTTCTGTGTTTATTAGAAGAGTTTTAATTAATTAGAGCTTTTATGAAGGTCCCCTTTAAACACTCACAAAACAGTGAGAACCAGTGAAATCCTGATTACTCTAGTCTGCTACTGACTTACTGGTCGCTGTGCATTGTTCTGGACATCATTCTGACCATTAAACAAGTCATATAAACCGAGGTTATTGGGGAAGTCGGGTTGTTGTGAATCATGTTTGAATCGCAGTAATTAGGTTTTTTTGTGTGCATGTTAACGCAGCATGCTGACAGAATCCATGACTGTGTCTGGGACTGCTCGTCTGTGGCCGTGTACAGAGAGGAGGAAAAGTGGAGAGAAAATGAAGCCTGGCTGCAGTCAGCACCCAATTAAGTTATTGTCAGAAGGGTCATTTGCTCAGTCCCAAAAATTACAAGACACTTAACTGTGTGTGTGTGTGTGTGTGCAGTAGCAGTGTGATGGAATGACAGAGTGTCTGAACCTTATTGCTAAATCATTTAGAGATCAGCTTGAATGGTGAATCATGGATTTGTGACCAGCAGGGGTGGACCGACCATCTGGAGGAGCAGGATTTTCCGAGTGGGCAGGTTTACCTGTAGTGCTGCAGTGAGTCCAACAATACTGATGCAAAAAGATCTCAGAATATATCAGCTTCCCTTTAATGGCTGCTGAGTGATATCTACCTCACTATTGAACGTTTTGAATGCAGCGGTTTTCACCTAGGGGTCGGGGGAAAATCAATTCTTAGATGCCTGGGGGTTGAGTGTAATACGTGAATCAACCACCCAAATCCAACCTGACTTTGCTACAACTTAGCACTTAGCAACTTACCACTGAGTGTCTGTGTGTCGAGAAATAGCGCTACAAAGCGAAGAAAAGGTGGAAGTTCCTGACATTAATATTGTCTTAAATAATTTTGTAAGACCAGGCTGTAAGTTCCTTAAAGCTGAACCAACTGGATGATAAAATATAACAGATGTAAACGTGTACGTCGTGTTCATGTTCTAAGCTAGGTAAGCTAAGATAAGCTACCTACGTGTATTTGTGTAGACCGTGCCAAAACCAGCACAACAAAGTGCTTATAACACATAAAAATGCAACAATAAAATACACAGCTAACGTTTGATTATTATGAAGGTGAAGGGAAAAGGGACCTGAACTACAGCCACACTGTAAGTGATTCTACGACAAGGATGCTGTGACAGGCACACTGTTATTTATTTTCTTGTTGGTTCTTTGCAACGCTGGGAAATATGTTGGCCGATATAACCCTCCAGTTGACACGTCTCTTTTTTAAATTTGTTCCTGTTGTGTTAATAATAGATAAGTGATTAATTCAAGTAAATTCCTCTGTTTGTTTTAATTATGGATCATTACGAATACACTATATTTTAAAATTAGCACATGGTCACACAGTGAGAGCTCGCTGCATCAATAGTTGTTTTATAATAGCATTAAAGCCCCCTGAATTGGAACCAAAACAAATCAGTAGGTGTCTGGAGATTCCCACCTCTAATATACACCCGAAACACACCATAGGCCCGGGTGGCTTTTACCTGTGTTCTTTCATCCACTGATGCCACAGTGGGTCAGTTTACGGCCGTAATTATATGCTTGTTAATGTCCAGCTTTTTGTTGTCATGGGACTGCTCCTCTAGCTGTGATGATCACAGTATTGGTGAGCTCACTGGCCCGTGCCTAATGTTCGGAGCCCACAGATTCCTTCAAATAGTAATAGGAAACAGACCTAGCATGGTTCTGTTTGTTTATTATGTTCTCAAGTAATAAAACCACATCATAAAATCACACTCTCAGAGCAGAAATGATCATTAAATAGGAGTTATGTTTAAAAGCAGAGAGATAATTTCATAGAGGCCCTCACTGACAATGAAAAAATAATGCAACAAGCAGATAGATGCAAAACAAAAACAGATGAAAGAATATCAATCCCCAAGGTGTGTTGGTGGTTGTTCCATGAATCAGGTGCACTGACTAAAAGGCCGACTTTCCAAGAGCATGACACGTTCATGTATTAAAAGGCATTGAAACCTTTGTATAATATACATTAACATTTATGAGTTTAATGGAGTTACTACATTGATTTCTTTGATCAGGTTATCCAGTTCAGGGCCACAGGAGGCTGGAGCGTATCCCAGCATGCATTTGGCACAACACATTCAGACCTGGCTGGGCTACAGCATTTAACACTATGCGGTCCTGGGTTAATGTAGGTTAAATGTAATACAGAGTTAAATGAAACCTACTTACCAAACTTTACCCTTTACAAATTGCTTTATTTATTTGTGGTTATCAAACAACAACAAAGACTAAACTTAATTGTCATGAAAAACAACCCCGTTTTAACCACCTTGCTTTCAGACGTGCGGCGATCTACGCAAGACATGGATGGAGTTTCGCCCACCTCCTCTTAACGCCAACCACATAAACTCCTGTTTCCAGGATAATTAAAGTGCTCGTTTGTCCTCATAAACATTTATCACCTGAAGCCATTTTCTCAGGAGTGCCTTATCACTACTGCGCATGTGCAACTCTCAAAAAAGATGAGACGGAAGCGAGATGGCTCAGTCATTGGCTACTTCTATTATCTGCTCAGGAAATTACAATGTGTTTAATTCTTTTCTACCACTCGCCCAATCAGGCAAGATACACTAGCCTGGGCAATCTCTGCTGTTGAGCCCAGTAATACAATAAATTATTGAAGTTGATTGGAAGGACTGGAGAAGCTTTTTGTCAAAACAGAATTTACATTTAGAAAACAAACTTTAAAATGTGGACACCCAATTGACTTTCTGAATTTATGATTCTCCTCCCCAAGTTCGATAGCAGCTGAAGTTAACAAACTGTCTGCCTCTGGCCTTCTGTCTTTCCCCTCCTGTGATCATCTATGAAAACCACCTGCTGTGTCCCCCTTCAAAACCTGGCTGCTGCAAGACAGCCAGAAAACAAAATCAGAAACAAACAGAAGTCGCCTGGATCCCATTCATTTCTCATGCACATACGTTGCTAGTTTTGTGCTGTGTTGCCCTGACAAAACATTATTTTACATTTTAGTGAAATACCAGTTAAGAACATGTGACTCCCAAGTCATGGGATAGACTCCTTTGTATTTTAAGGGGAAGACCCTTCTCTCAAGCTGTGATAAATCAGCATGTTCTCCAGGGTATTTAAGGCCCGCTCAGCCACCTGGTCTAATTTATCTCCCATTGCCTCTAAATTAAAAGTTTATGAATGTTACCGTTCTGGCATGGTCTGACATGTTTTTATAAGTCTGGCAGTAGATCTGAGTGAGCCCTCCTTTTGTCAGCAGCTTCCTGTGGAGCTAAAGTGATGTTTTGAAATGTGCAGTGTTTTTTTTCCTTCACCAGTCTGGTAATTTTACAGCATTTATTTTGCAGAGTTCTTAAAACGGTTTGTTAACATTCTTGGCATTCCTCCTATTAACCACAGGGTATGAGGATAATGACTATCTGCATGTTAAGTAGCGAAGGAAAAGCGGCCCACTAAACTTCAAAATGCTGAGGTATTTATTTAAATATAATCATTGAAAAGAGTGTATCGATGTACCTCTAATTCTCTGACTGCTCCTTAAGCCTTTTTACTTTCAAAGCATTTTCCTCCTTTGATCCTGCAAACAGCGAGTCCAACCCCACTGTGTTCACTTTCCCACTCCCCACGTCCACAAGAGAGTGAACAGTCTGAAAACACAGCTTCCTTTTAAAGAAGGATCTGACTGAGTTCAAAGAGGAGAGTTCTTTGGAGAGGGAAAGAAAGAAAGAATCAGCAAAAGAAGTACTGTGGAAAAAATAAAGGAGGGTTTTTTTTATATTTCTTTACGGGAAATGAAAGGAAATAAAAAATCAAAGGAGGACGTGTATAAAAGATTGTTGAAATGCAAGTTATTTTAAGAAAGGTGAGGTTTCCTCGGCTCTGCTGGAGATGATGATTTACACCCATCCACACTTGGAGCGTACTCTGCCTCTCAGAAAGTGCTGAAGAGGTGTGTGTGATGGTATGATATTTACATTTTAAACTGATGCTCTCATCCAGAGCGATTTGCAATGAGTGCAGCATTAGAGTGCACTCCAATTCCTTGAGCCGTAATATTCCCTCAACACTGAAATGATTCTGTCAGACAGAGAAAACGCCGGAAGAGGAAATAAAACGAGTCAAAAAGCAAGGGAGGATTTTAGGACTTTTAAGAGCAGAGCATATTGAAGCTAGCAGAGAACATGAGAAGGGGATGAGTTAGAGGGAAGAAACGTGAGGTATATTTTGATGAGATGTAGCTTTAAGGTTATGAGTGAAGTTGCAGAGTGGCTGCTGCAGTCTTAAAGGGAATTGGAAGGTCGTTACAGTGCAGGGGAAACATGAGAGATAAGAGCAGAGGCTTGGTGGAGAGATGAATTTGTTGCAGTGGGAATGGAAAAAAGCCAAACATGTTGTAGGAGGAAAACCAACAAGATTAAGCAAAGGGTGTTGGCCAAGGTGAAGCACTTGGCAAGAGGTTAGTCAGGGGGTGAGAGGAAGAAATCAAAGGGAATGGAGTCCGCTCACAAGTGTAGCATGTGTGTTGTGAGTAAATCTCTAATGCTAATGTGTTTCTACCATCGAGACCTGAAGACTTCCTCTCTGCCTCCACAGAGCACTCCGGCAAGGCGCAAGAGAGGGAGCGGGAGGAGAGGGAGAAGAAGAAGGTCAAAGACAGAGAGAGGGAGAAGGAGAAGAAGAAGCATAAAGTGATAAACGAGATCAAGAGGGAGAACGGAGAAGTCAAGCAGCCCATTAAAGGTTAGTGGAAATGCACGCACACATACACATGCTAATCAAGTTATTTATGTAGATTTATGAAAGCTTGTTTTTCCTGAGTTAATCGTTGGTCTATAAATGTTTGAAAACATTAATTAAATGCCCATCACAGTATCCCAGATCTTTTTTGCGATGTCTTCAGTTGTTTTTTCTTTTTTTTATCTAACCAACAGTCCAAGACCAAAATGTATTCAGTGATATTTAAAGTGGAAAGAAGTGAATGCTTACATTTGAATATTTGGCATTTATGCTTAAAAGTAGGCAGAAAAATTGAGCTTGAACGCTTTTTGCTGACCTTGGAAACAGCAGCTTGACAAAAAAATCTCGACACTTGTCAGTTATCATTTCCGAAACTCTTAACCACATCTCGTGGCCTTCCTCAGTGAATGTAGTTGCTCAGTTGTGAAGGATGAAGATAATTATTTTCTGTTGATTGGCTCGTAGATTAACTAATTGTTTAAGAACCACGTAAATGTGAACCCTCTATTTAAATTACAATTTATATAAAATATGTTAAACAGTAGGCCTGTCACAATAACTACTGTTGTTAGACGTTATATTGTATGTATTTTGTGCTGCTCCCATAGTGATAATATAATAGCATAATAGTGGATGTACAACCCTTTCAAAAATGCAGGAAACTTTTAATTCTTATGAATATTCAGACATTGAAATTGGAATAAGAAAATAATTAAGATGCTTTTAGAAAAGTAATTAACACTTGTTAATGTATACACGAAAGTATTTGTAAATTATAGTACCTTTTTTATAGGACTAGCTCAGAATTGACCCATTGCTAAGTCCCGCCCCCAGATGCAGACTGGCCAATCATGACGTAGCATTGGGCCGGCTCAGACCAGGGTCCAACAGCATTGACTCTAATGCAATCATTTCAGATTTCCTTGATTTTCAGGCTGGTTTTGTGGATTTCAAGCTAAATGTTGTGCCTGGGGCACATCTTGTATTAATGATAATCGTTACCTGGAGAGGTTGGAAAAAGATATACGTTTCTTCCCTGTTCCAAAACCAAAATCAAACCCTGAAAAGTGTAGGGTTAGCTAGCATCGCATTGTACACAGATGAACAGTGTTTGACTTCCCCCAGAGATCCCTGCTCGTCTGGCAGCAGCACGGGGGCGAAGCCAAACACCGTTCATCTGCACACACTGTGATGCCACACAGCTGGTTCAGTATCAGCAAAGTTTCCCTTTATATTCATTGTCTTGTGTGGCGATCAGCAGTGATGTGGTGGTTCACTTTTACACTGTGATCTGTAGCCGATAGTTCGGCTTTAGCTTCTAACTATCTTTGTCTTTTTAACCTGTTGCTGCTGCTGTGTCAGTTTGACATCCTGGATATATCCTTCAAACACAGACTGTAGACCCCTCTGTCTGCTTCTCTCTGGAATCACTGTTTCATTTTTCCAAAAATATGATAATGTTTCTTCAGGAAGTGCAGTTAGTTGTGGGCTCCATGCTAACTCCGACAGCTTGATGGACCATCACAAAGGGGCGAAAGGTCAGATATTCAGATTGAGACTTAATACAAATTTGGCCACCAAAATCAAAGTGATGCCTTTTGCGACGAATAGACAAAGTAGCGAAGCTCCAGGAACATCGCAGTTACTTCCATAATAAGGCCGGTGTGCTGCAGTCGGCTCCTTTGGATAGATGGCCGAGGAGCCAGACGGTTTGCTGGAGGATTTACGAAGTAGAGGCTGAATTGTTGAAATGGTCAAACAACAAATGACACACATTTTGGCTCGTTGCCAGTGGTTGGCAAGCTAACAACTATTAGGACTGTGCCTCTTCCACTACAAAAGTGTAGCTGCAGGCTATCGGTAAGCTGCGTTGTGCTGTCTTTGAAGTGTTGACTTGTTTTCCCTTGGACTCACGCTCTTTGGCGGAGATAAAGATGAAACAAAAGTCTTATCATGGTCGGGGTAACCCTGCTGTTTATTCTGGCATTGTGTCAGCCAAAATGTTGGTGACATTCTTGTGTAAACAAACACCTGTAAACACAAAAGGCAGTGTTGAGGTTAGCAAAATGATCAACGTAGTGTCAATATATTGTACGATAAGTTAACAAAGGTTTTGTGACAGGCCTAAAAAGAGGTTTAGCATGATTTAGAAACACTTAAGGGCCTTCAGTATATCAGGGTATTGGCGATCTTAAAAAGTAGTAGGCACTAATAGTAGTTATAAAATATGATTGTATTCATCCAGTTGCAGGCTGTGACAGTGGACTGTTTGTGCAGGCGGGTGTTCAGTCAGCACCATCAGATCTATAGCAATTGCTGTCACTACTTCAAGCTACATTAGCTGAAAAGCTCAAGGCACTGGCCCACTTTCACCGTGCGCTGTAAAGTATATCATCATTATCTTTGTAACATCCAAGCAGCGTACACAACTGATCAGCATCCCAGTGGGCGTTGAAATATGCTAATACTGTAGGGCGGCTATAAAAGGCACAATACACCACAGAGTGACAGTGGCTGTAACTGTTGTACTTTTTCTTGGAGACATTGATCCCTGGCTTTAGGTTGACCTTTGCACTGTGCTGCTCCTCACCTGGAGGATTGGTGCTTGGGGTTTGTTTAGTCTGACCTGTGTGTGTGTTTGTATGGGCAGCCTGATTGTGCATCTGGTAGCTAGGCTTGTAACAGGAGAAGCTGAGCGACAAGTTAGGGCAGAGTTGACTACCCTTGTGTCTTATGCCACTCTCTTTCTCTGTCACTGGAAAACAAGGAAAAAGACTGTTTACATTAACAGTGACTGAGATGGAAGAAGCAAGAATGAGCCATAGATATATAAGTCTATTGACCCTTTAGATGATAGACAAACAATTTCGATAATCAACTATGTATTAAAGTTATTTGTCAACCATATGCTGAGCTTTTTTCAGTTTTGATATGATTGTTTGTTGATTGAATACTTTTTTGTTTTGGCTTGTAGTTGGACAAAAACAATTTGAAGACATCACCTTTGGGTCTAGGAAGTTGCAGTGGTATTTTTTTTTTTTTTTTACTATTTTCTGGCATTTATATGCTGAATGTCATAATGCACCATGAAAAAGTAAGGAACACATGAGGAAAACAACTGCTGCAGTTATAGACTGTATGAGATAATGGATGTAGCTAAGTTACATCACCCATTGGTTTGTGGACTCCCGTTTTGAAGCCTCGAGCCCGGCATTTTGGCCGCAGTTAAGTTTTTGGAGCCAGAAGTGACTGTATTTGTAGTGAAGGGTGGATCTAACTTAGAAGTCAAGGACACTATTTACAGATAGCCCGTCACTCAAAGCAACCACATCCTTAATTATGCATAACTTTAAGCCTTGATAAATTGTTAACAGATGAGTTAAATAAAAATTCACCCCCGCACAGTTGTCATTAATGTTAAAATTACTATTGAAACCGAAACCGTTTTATGTACCAGGCTATAAACATATTTATTCTGCTGTAGAGTTGGGCATTTTAATGTGGGGGGTCTGTGGGGATTGACTCATTCTGGAGCCAGCCTCTAGAGCCTGTCCAAGGAACTGCAGTTTGTGGCACTTGGGCGCTGACTCGCCGCTTGGTTGCAACCTTGGACATTTTTATATGGCTTTATTGTCTGACAAATATGTAATTGTTGAGACCTATATAAACCAAAAATTGGTGGATATTACTTTATGAAACACCTAACAAAAATATTTTTTTCGTAGTGAACCTCTTTAAAATGTTATATCAAAGACTTGTATTGTAGAAACATAAAGTATATATACTGAAGCCGGTATTTTACCGTTGAACAATGTTTTTAAACAGCATTGTATAAAATAGGGATGCACCAAATATTCGGTAACCGAATATATTCGGCTGAATATTGCAAAAAAAACACATATTCGGTATTCGGTGGAATAAGTGAAAAGCAAGGCCGAATAATAGCGGCGTGTTTTGATAACGCAATCAAACAGCTTGCGGTGACGGACGGAGTAAAATGTTGGCAGTGTGGTGATATTTTACTCCGTCCATCACCGCACTCGCATTTGCGACTAAAAATAGTTCTGTGCGAGCAAAATAAATCATTCAGCACGCTGTGTGAGTACAGATTTCAACCAGCAGCAGAAATGAAAGGTGAATCCCGCCGGTTGTGGGTTGAACGGGGGTCACAGACACGGACAGGAATACATATTCCTGTCAAAGACGGCGGCCATCGTGCTCTGCGGCGCAAGATAACGGCTTACCGGCGATGGAGAAGTCCGGCTCCAATAATGTCCTGTTCTTGGTGTCATGACTGCCCAGAAGTACCTGAACAGCCGAGCCATGGCGGCACACAGGTATGTGGCGTGTCAGAGGAGAAACGAGCCGTTCACATTACTCTCTTTGTGGCAGGTAACGGTCCACAAACCTCACCGCACTTTAGGGACTGTTCTTTACTTATGGAGGGACTGTTGTTTACTTGTCAGGGGAAGAGGGTGGCTGGTTTATTTTTATTTTATTTATTGATTCCCCCTATGTTAATCACTCATTGATGCTGTTTTTGAAGTATGAATAATTTATTCCATTGAAGTATCATTGATGTATTATAGAAAAGTGATTTATCTTTTATAAATGACAAAAGGCACATCTGCCTCATTTTTGCTGTGGTATCGTGATACTACTCAGAACCATGATATTTTCACTGGTATCGTACAGTGGGTCCTAATTTTGGTACCATGACAACACTAATCTGGAGGGGGTTCATCTGCAAAAACTAATGAAAAACTAAACAACGGTATTCGGTACTCGGTATTCGGCCAAGCGTTTAATTTTATTCAGCTTCGGCTTCGGCCACAAATTTTCATTTCGGTGTATCCCTAGTATAAAATAACGGTACATTTTGAACAGTAAACACCATTGTGACTCAAACTAGGGCTAGGCGATCTGTTCTGAAAATGTATCACGATATTTTTAGGCTATATCTCAATACATGATATATGTCTAGATATTTTTAACTTCATTAA